GTGATAGAAGTTTAGTTGCATATGTGGGGTTGGGGGTATAGCTCAGTGGTAGAGCGCCTGCCTAGCCTATGCAAGGCCCTAGGTTTGATCTTCAACACTGCAAAACAGACAAACAATCCACGGATTTCATACATGTGTGCATTTATTGAAATTCATTGATGTGTAGACTTAAGATTTGTGTATTTCAACAAATGCGTTTGTATATGTAAAATTTCCCTGAAAAGAAAAAAAAATCTTATATTCTAAGCTAGTTAATGATTTGCATGCTGCATTATTAGGGACAGTAGGTTGATGTCTTTGACTTACTTTGCTTTTTTTTCCTCATTGAGTTTTTGGTACATTTAGGTATATAGTACAGTTACATTCATTATTGGGATCTTGTACCTTTACATGACAGGTCTTGGTTCTCATTTTTTCCCCTTGTCCCTGCCCTCCATTCACCCCCTCCTCTCCCCATTTACAAATACTTTATTTCCATTGTTTCATTTTCTCATGTTTTTTCTTTTCCCTTATTACCTTTCCCCTACCCTTCCTACTTTCCCTACACCTTTAGCCCTTTTCTTCCTATTTCACATTGTCAATTATCTCATTAGGATTTTATGTACTCTTATAGTTTATTCACACCAGAGAAAGTATTCGGTATTTAGACATGTGTGACTTATTTATTTCACTTAGGAGCATATCCTTAATACGTATCCATTTTCCTATGAATGAATCTAATTTCTCATTCTTTATGGCTGAGTAGTATTCCATTTTATAGAGAAACCACATCTTATTTACCTAGTTGTCTTTTACTTACTTTTAGTGCATTAAAAAAGACAATTTAAGATGGATTGATAATGGATTGAGGGGTGATAGGTGAATAGGTTAGTATAACATTATAACAGAAGTAAATTAAAGTGGTAATTATAGAGTCTAAAATGTGGATATATGAATATTTCCAGGAAAATTGTTTCAACTTTTCTATTACATTATTCTTAGACACTCTATAGCAACACAGAAGTTGACGTCAGATGTGCAGAGTATTTTAGAATGGTATCAATTTTTATAAAAAATCTATCTTAGTCCATTTAGTGTTGCTGCAACAAAATACCTGAGGCTAGGTGCTTTATAAAGTAAAGAGATTTATTAGGCTCAGAATTCTGGTGGCCAGAAGGTCCAAATATCATGGTGCTGGTATCATGGTGGAAGCTTCTCTGGCCAGAGAAACAGGAAGGGAAATGGTCTTTTGCACAAAGGACCAAGCTCGCTCTCTCTCTCTCTCTCTCTCTCTCTCTTTCTCTCTCTTTTTCTCTCTCCTCTCCTCTCTCCTCCCCTTCTCTTTTATGTCTTTCTTTTTTTTTTTTGACCCAAGGTCTTACTGTGTATCCCAGGCTTAACCTTGAACGCATAGCGATCCTCTTGCCTAAGCCTTACACGTGCTGAGATTACAGGCATGCACTGTCATACCTGGCAAGGTAGCCTTACTTTATAACAACATTTTCTGCAAGGAGTAACTCCACGAGAGAAACAGTAATCCTTTCCTTTATAGTGGACCATTCCTGTGACCTGATTGCCTTCCATTAGGCTCCACCTGTTAAATGTTCCACCAATTCAGTATCGTTACACTGAGGACCAAGTTCCAAGCACATTTAGGAGAATGAAAAAACTGTATCTAAATCATAACAAACATGGCGAGAATAGTATAGAATGAATCTCTGTTGTGCTCTCTAAGGAGGGGAGGAGTGACAGGGAAAATAATTTGCATCACAAGAGTTTGCAGACAAGAGCTTGTCTGGTTGTCTTTTTTTTGGGGGGGGTGGTTTGAAACAGGGTCTCGCTGTGTAATTGAGACTGACCTGGACCTCACTAGGTAGCCCAGGCTGGTCTTGTACTCACAGTGATCCTCCTGCCTCAGCCTCCCGAGTGCTGAGATTACAGGCGTGCACCACCGTGCCTGGCATTGTCTGGTTGCCTTATAGTAAAGACTGTAAGAACTATTGAACTTAAAGATGAATGAAGCAGTTCTTTTTTTCAAAAAGCGAAAAGGCATGTCAAAGTTGCTTACTTCTTTTGAATGAAAAGTGTCCGTATAATATGCTACGTAGATTAAAAACAAACTAATATACCAATCAGCGGAGCACTCCATCTCTTTAAATTAAAGGGGCTTCTTTTCACAATGAGTACAAAAGTAGCTGCCCCCTTTTCAAGGCAGAAATAAAAATTACAGAGTGTTTTAAAAATCAGTCTTTGGATATCTTATGTGATTTTGTTATTAAAGGTGGATATATCTTATTAAAATATCCTATTCATATTCCTCTTTTTGTCCTTCCTCCTCTTCTGCTACTCCTGACTTCTTTCTCCTCCTCTTCCTCTTCCTCTCCTCTCCTTCTATGACTACTACTTCCTCCTCCTCTTCCACTTTTCTTCCCCTTCTCCTTCTTCCTCTTTTCTTCCTGCCTCTCCTCTCCCTTCTCTGCCCTTCCTCTTCTTTTCCTTCCCCTTCTCCGCCTCCTGTTCCTTCTTTTTTACTTACACAGGGCATTGAACCCAGGACCTTCATTCCAAGCCACATCCCTAAGTCCAGCCTCCACTTAAATTTTTTTTAATTTTGAACTCGGGTCTTGCTACGGGGTCCAGGCTGGGCTTATATGTGCACCACCCTGCCTGGTGCTAGTTGCATTAGAACCGACCAACCAACTAACCTTGAGACAATATTTTCTATACTCTTTAAAAGTCTTTGAAATGAAGTTTCGGTGGAATAGGGGATGGATGATGGAAAAAGAAGAGATGTTCAAAGGGTACAAAGTTACATTTATACAGGAGGAAAAAGTTTTAGTGTTTTTATTGTGAGGCATGGGGATTATAGTTAAAATACTATATTATGTATTTAAAAATTACTAAACAAGTAGATTTTAAATTTCTTATCATTAAAAATGTTCAGTATGTAAAGTGATGGATATATAAATTAGCATGATTTAATCATTCCACAAAGTATATATATCACATCATATCCCTTAAATATATACAATTATTTCATTAATTAAAAACATAAAAAAAACCCTCCAAAAACACTGCCACGTATCTAATGGGCCATGAGTGTCTAGGTAGAAATTCATCGTTCTGGTGATCATATATGGTTTATATACTTTTCTGGTTGATTGTTAAACTTTAGCAAAAATAAATATATGTAAGAAAAACTAGAAACCAAAATAAAACAAAAAGCCTTTTCAGCAATTTTTGACCGTTGTTAAAAATGTTAAAATGCAACATCTTTTGGAGCAATGGTTTAACTCAGTGGTTCCACCACCTGCCTTGCAAGTGCAAGGTCCCAATGTGATCCTGGTACAAAAAAAAAAAAAAAAAAAAAATCTTGATTAGTTTACAAGAACATTTAATTGACATAAGAAAGATAGAAATTATTACTACAAGTACAATACAAAGTTTTGTTTGTTTGTTTTTGGTACCAGGGATAAAACTCAGGACATTGCGCTTGCAAGGTAGACGCAAGTGCCACTGAGCCAAATCCCCGCCAAATGTTTTTGATAATTAATGGAAGACATTAAAAATGAAAGTAATGTTTTAGTTAAGTCCAACAAATGATATATTTCTTTAATTTTTATCATTTCACCTTTGCAATTATCCCTTACTCAGCTTTACAGCCATTAGTATTAATTAAGTGGTAAGATAAGCAACAGTTCAGTCATAAAATTATAAAACATTTAAATCAGTGTTTTAAAGATTATTATAATTTCATTTTTATCATTGTTCCACTAAAAATGTTAATGTTTGTCTGGAAAATGAGGTGACTTTTTAAAAGATTAATAAGATAAAACTATTTCTAATGCTTGTAATTTTTATTTTTAATTTTCATTTTATGTACATTTTGTATTATCTAGAACATACTAGTAAAATAGTATATATTAATAAATATGCACTTATTGGAGGACCACGGTGAGGTTTGTTTGTTGGAATATGTGATAAGACAAGTTTAGAGAGTTCTCTGCTCATAATCAGACAAACGATTATTTTTTTTTCCTCATTGAGTTTATTGGTACATTTTAGGTATACGGTATAGTTACATTCATCATTGGGATCTTGTACCTTTACATGACAGGTCTAGGTTCTCATTTTTTCCCCTTGTCCCTGCCTTCCCTTTACTCCTCCTCCCTTCCCCCTTTACAAGCACTTCATTTCCATTTTTTCATTTTCTCATATTTTTCCTTTTCCCTTCTTACCTTTCTCCTACCCTTCCCACTTTCCCTGCACCTTTAGCCCCTTTCTTCCTATTTCACTTTGTCCATTATATCATTAGGATCTTATGTACTATTATAAAAATTTTAGCAGCTGCTCTTCAGACAAAGGGACTATTATCTAGAATATATAAAGAACTCAAAACAATCAGCCCCCCAAATATAAAGACCCGATTAAAAAATGGGCATCTGAAATGAACAGACATTTCTCAGATGAAGTAAAAACAGCAAGTAAATTGTTCCACATCACTGGTCATTTGAGAGATGCAGATGAAAATGTTTATTTTTATTAGTAGCAATAATTATTCTAAATGTCTAAGCTATTGTTTTACACATTATAAACCAATACATATATTGTATTATGTTTACCATGTGTGTATCTCAGTTTCATCTCAGACTGTTTTTCATCTCTGCCTGAGATTTTCTTTTTTCTCTATTCTCTTCCCATAGTAAAAAATGTTCATTGGTATTATTTTTGCAATGCCAGTGTCAATGTGAATATATAAATGCATTGATGAAACTTCCAGCATATTTCATTTAAAATTTCTCCTCGGAACTACAATACACAGAGAAGGATTTGAGTGACTATATTCTGTTCTCCCAAGGATACTACATTATTAGGATACTTCTGGATGCATAGGATGGAAATTAATTCATTACATGCAATGGATGTCTTAGGGCAGTATGGTAGACTTTTTATAGCAAGTTCTTGAAGTGATTTACTTTGATTGGCTTGTATTTATACAAACATTTAACAAATTTTTTTAGATTACAGGTCCACCAGGTTGTGGGAAAACTCAATTTTGTAAAATGATGAGTGTATTGGCTACATTACCCACCAACATGGGAGGATTAGAAGGAGCTGTTGTGTACATTGACACAGAGTCAGCATTTAGTGCTGAAAGGTAGGATATTTTATTATTTCCATTACAACATGTTGCTTTTATAATATATACAGTGTGGAGCATTTACAAATTTCATTAATTTCTGCTTTGGTCTTTATAATTTCTTTCCTATTTGTTTCAGATTTGGATGGATGTTGAGATGAATCATTAGGTTATTTATTTGGGATCATGATATTCTTTTTATGTGTATATTTACAGCTATAAACTTCCATCTTAGAAGTGGTCTCCTTATGTGTCGGTTTTGGTATGCTGTGTTTCCACTGTCATTTGATTCAAGGAACTTTTTTCTTCCCTGATTTCTTCTGTGATCTATTGATTATTCAGTAATGTGTGTGTGTGTGTTTGGTGCTACGGATTGAACTCGGGACCTTGCACTTATGAGGCAGGCGGTGGCACCACTGAGCTAAGTCCTGGCCCTTGTAATATGTTATTTAATCTCTACATGTTTGTATAGTTTCTGTGGCTTCTTTTGCTTTCTGTCTTTATTATGCTGTGATCAGTATGCCAAGGATTACTTCAATTTTTATATTTAGGCATGCTTTATGGCCTTAGATACATCTATTTTGGAATATGTCCCATGTACTGTTGAGAAAAGTATATATTCTGTTGTTGGATGGAACATTGTATAGGTATCTGTTAAGTCCATTTGTTCAACGATGTAGTTTAACTCTGATATTTCTTTGTTTTTTTTGGTCTGGCTCTCCTGTCTATTTATGAGACTATAATATTTAAGTCCCCCACTATAATTGTATAGTAAGTAGTCCCTGATTTATGAATCTTCAAGTTGTGAACTTTTGCGGGTATGAACAGACCTCACATTTAGTTTTTTTATGTTTTATATTGTATATTTATGTCAAAGGTGTATAAGATTCACTTTGTCAGACTTATGAATGTTCTCCCTGAACGGAACTTGTTTGTATGGAACTTTTACAAATTTCATTAATTTCTGTTCTGACTCATTTGTAAGTCTAGGACTTACTCTATTAGTGTTTATCTGTCTTTTTTTTTGGTACCAGGGATTGAACTTGGGTCCTTGTGCTTATGAGGCAGGCACCGGAACCACTGAGCTAAATCCCTGGTCCTATCTGTCTTTTTTAAGTTCGATAGTTTGAACTTTTATGAAGTGGAGTGTACTGATATTCAGTTCATATTTACAGTTGTTATTTCTTCCTGTTGAATTGTTCCCTTTACCAGTACATAATATTCATCTGTCTCTTCTGACCAATTTTTGCTTGAAGCCTGCTGTGTCTGAAAATAAGATAGCTACTCGTACTTGTTTTTGGGCTCTGGTTAAATGGAGTATCATTTTCCACCAGTTTACTTTCAGTCTGTGTTCTTCCTTTGGGATGGAGTATGTCTTTTGTAGACAATATAGTGTTGCATGGTGTTTTTTTCCTAATCTGCCAACCTGTATCTTTTGATTGGTGTGCTGAGACTATTAATATTGAGAGTTATTATTGTAAGGTTCTTTTGTTTGTTTGTTTGTTTTTTTGATGCAGGGTCTCACTATGTAGTTGAGACTGACCTGGAACTCACTATATAACCCAGGCTGGTCTTGAACTCACAGTGATCCTCCTGCCTCAGCCTCCCGAGTGCTGGGATTAATAGGCGTGCGCCACCACACCCAGCAGTAAGGTGTTTATTGCTTCCTGTCATATTGTTTTGTTTTTAGTGGTGTTTTTTTTTTTTTTTTTTTTTTTTACTACTTTTCCAGTTAATGTATATTTTCCTCTGGGCTCTTTGATGCTGGTGGTCTCTCTGTTTCTGTTGAGGATTCCCTTAAGTAGTTCCTGAAATATTGGATTAGCGGCCATGTATTTCTTTAGGATTTTTTTGTTGTTGTGAAAAGTCTTTACTTCTCTGTCCAATTTGAAGGCTAATTGTATAGGATATAAATATCTGGGTTGACAATTATTTTCTTCTAGGGCTTGAAAAACTTTGCCCTAAGCTGTCTTGGCCTTTAAATTTTGTGCTGAGAAGTCTGCACTTATTTGGATGAACTTATCTTTATAGGTTTTTTGCTGTATTCTGTCCTTTTCTTGAATTTCTGAAATTTTGGTTAGGCTGTGTATGACACAGTTCTTTCCTGGGCATGGCTGTTTGGGATTCTGTATGACTCTTGTCATGAATACTGAATTTTTTCCCCTAGATTTGGAAGATTTTCTGCTATGTTTTCAGTGAATAAATTTTTTATACATTTTGAGTTGTCTTCTAATTTTTTCTTTATTCTTATAAGTCTCAATTTTCATGAGTCTGTTAGTAGCTCTTGGATCCAGCTTGTTTGATGTCTTCTTGTTTTTTGGGTATCATTGAGTTTATGATGTACTACATCCATGGTGTCTTCTGTTTCTGACACTGTTCTCATAATGCTCAAGACTGCTTTTTGTTTTTTTGGTTTTGGTTTTTTGAGACAGGGTCTCACTATGTAGTTGAGACTGACCTGGAACTCACTATGTAGCCCAGGCTCGTCTTGAACTCACAGCAATCCTCCTGCCTCCCGAGTGCTGTGATTACAAGCATGTGCTACCATGTGTGGCCCAACACCAATTTTTAAAATTAAAAAAAATTTTTTTTTGTACTGGGTATCAAACTTGGGCCCTTGTGCTTACAAGGCAGGTGGCAGAATCACTGAGCTAAACCCCTGGCCCCCAGTTTTTTTTTTTTTGGTCCCGGAGGTCGAACTGAGGCCCATGTGCTTGTGAGACAGGCACCACAACCACTGGGCTAAATCCCCGGCCCTCCAACACCATTTATTAAATAGGCTATCTTTCCTATGTTTTCCTTTACTGAAGTAGGCCACTCATGTCTTACTTAACTCAGTTTATTTTTTTTTCTTTAAGCCTGTCATACCTTTCTTAGCAAAATTCTTTATTGGTTTATGAAATCCTCTGTGAGCTTCTTAAGCATTTTATGCATTTGCTTATATGTTTCTTATTTTATCTCTTCAAATGCTTTGCCCATTTGGCTTCTGAGTTCTTTGACTATATCTTCCTCTGCTTCAGTGTCCATGAGATTGGCAGAGTCTTGTTGCCTTACTTTTTCATGTTTTTGTTGTTTTGTGCTGTGGATTTAAGATCAGTTAGGATGGAGAAACTCTGTGGCTATTGTGGAGATCCTTTTGGTTAGGCTCTGTCTGTGGTATGTCCCTGGGTTTGGTTGTGTTTTGATGTTTATGTTCCTCTTCATTCTATTCAGCAGCATAATATTTGAGGGTCTTCTTAGTGCCCAAATTCTACTTGGGGCTTGATTCCCAGCATCACTCATAGAAGAGAAAAACAAATTAACAGCAGTGTTGACAACACAGTGACAAAGCAGGTAATGGCATACAGTAAAAACCAATTAAAAGCAACAACTCTAGTACCATTAGGAATAGATGTTATCAGTAATGGAGTCAAAGACCAATGGGTCATTGAGATCCCTAGGCACCAATAACAGCTATAGCTGTAGTATCCTTAATAATAGTAAAGAGATCTGCAATAATGGTTTAGAAACAAAGACATACCAAATATTGTCATACAGTAGCTATCTACCAAAAGCAACAGCTATATCACTATTAATAATAAGAATTCAGCAATAACAGCATATAGTTAACTAAATAGCTAAAAATTAGTAAAGCTTAATAATAATAATAATGAAATGTGTGGGATAAGGGGAAAATAAAAGTAAAATTTGAAGAAAGGATGAGAAGGATAAAAGAGATAAAAAATTAAAGATTAAAAGTTAATAGAATTAGACAAAAGTAACATAAAAAGACAAACATGAAAATGTAAATAAAAATAAGAAAAACAGAATAAAAACTAAGAGCACAAGATAGGGGGAAAAAAAAAACAAACCCCAAATCAAACCAATCCAAACCAAAGGAAAAATACCTCCAGAGAACAAAAAGAAAGAGAAATGAGTTCAAAATATTTCTTTGTGTATTTGGATGGATGGTTTCTTCCCACAGCCTGTGATATTGGAATCCACTAGAGGGGATAATGAGTTATATACAACTAAGTCCTAATTTGTTTCCACACCTACTTGTTTTGCTGTGTGACTCCTGAGTCCTGCCCTGCTGCTGTTCATGGTCAGTCAGTGATCTACTTCTGCCTTAGAACTGTATTCACTGAAGTAGCCCTTAGTGTTTGTGCTCTTCTGTGTGCCCCAACGCAGTGCTCTCTAACTAGCTTTATGGCCTGTGGGCTTATGAGGTACCTCACTTGTTCCAGAATCCCCTCTCTCTATATACCCCAGGATGTGGCAACTCTCCAAGTGGAGGTATTTCTTTGGTCATGTGGACAGATGGGCAAAACAGTCAGACCTCTGAGCTCTCTATATACTGGACATAGCAGTGGGGTAAATCAATTTGCTGCACTTGTCAGCGCTTTCAGACTCAGTCTCCTCAGAAAACCATACAACCTGCCTGGCTTCTCACCACAGATAGCTCACCACTGCATACATTTCTCAGGGGATGCACCATAACCAGCCCCTTCTCTGCAACTGTCTCTTTTGGCCATCTCTTACCTAGTCACTGTGGCTGAATGAGCAGAGACCCTGAAGGGTTATTTTATGGCTTCTGATGTTCAGAGTAGCTTAGTCTGAAACAATAAACCCCTCCCAAAAGTGGCTTCTGATTATTATATCACTCCCAAGTATGGTCGATATTGCAGTGAGTTTCTTCTCCAACTCTAGCCTGCAATTGGGAAGCCACTTTCATAGTAAACCTCTCTCCTAGTTACTTTTTTGTTGCTGAAATGAAATACTTAACACCCAAAGTTATAGCAGGAAAAGTTTTTGTAGCTCATAGTTTGTAGAGGTTTCATTTCATAGTTGGCTGGTTATAAGGCAGGGTGGCATGGCAGAAAGGCATCACAGAGGAGAAACAGTTCATGGCATGGAAGGCAGAAAGCAGTAACAGCAAGAGAGCAGCAGCAAGCAGCACAAGCAGCAACACAGTGAAGTATCAAAAGAAGCAAGACAGTAGCCTTCTTTCTGTGCCTTTTATTCTATCTAGGCTACAT